TTCTGTTGCTGAATTTATGTCTATTAAATATTGTGGGTGAGCTTAATAATCTACTGCAATACATTTAAAAGTAGCGTTTTCTGTTAGCTCAGATTTTCCACTGTAGTAGCCTATGTGATTTGATATTAAGGTAATCCAAAAGTACGTATCTGTTCGACCAGCTCATTTTATTTCGGTGCTCAGGCACTTTGCTTTTTACACAATTTCACGGATTTGGGCCGAAGTAAATAAACCCTGTTGTACCACATATTTTTCTTCTGTTCAGTGCAATCACAACTATTCATTTTCCTTTTTTTTTATTTCAAGAAAAAATACAATAAATAAACCTCATACATTATATACTACCTAATTTCACTCCTTCCACCTTTGAATTCCATGCCGTCACAGTAACCCATCCTATACAGTTAACCATTGTTGTTCTCTACCGTCCACCAGGCGCCTTGGGGGACTTCTTGGAGGAATTAGATAATCTCCTCTCACACATCCCTGAAACTGGCCCTCCCGCTGTACTTCTCGGAGACTTCAACCTCCAGACGGGGAAGATAGACGAACTAACATCTCTGTTAACCGCCTTTGCTTTCTCACTGTCTCCGTCCCCACCGACTCATAAAGCTGGCAATGTCCTTGATCTCATATTCTCAAGGAACTGCGCTACTTCTAACCTCTCTGTAAACCCGCTCCACACATCCGATCACTTCTTCATTTCATTCTCTCTACCCCTTTCCAAACATAACAAACTAATCTCTTCTCATCCTGCACTTGTCCGCCGTAACCTTCGCTCCCTCTCCCCCTCTACCTTTGCCTCGTCGGTGCTCTCAGCCCTCCCTTCCTCTGACTCGTTCCAACTCCTGCCTCCAAACTCTGCTGCAGAAACTCTCCTCTCTACTCTCTCATCCTCTCTGGACTCACTCTGTCCTCTCACATCTCGGCAGGCTCGTCAGTCCCCTCCTGCTCCCTGGCTAAATGATGCACTGCGTGCTAATAGAACCGTCCTTAGGGCAGCAGAGCGGAAACAGTGGAAATCCAAACACCGTGACGACCTCCTAACCTATCAGGCTCTCCTCTCCTCTTTCTCTGCTTCGATCTCTCAGGCAAAAAGCACTTTCTTTCAAGATAAGATCCAATCTTCCTATTCCAATCCTAAAAAACTATTTTCCATCTTCTCCACCCTCTTGGACCCTCCAAAAGCCCCTCCCCCCTCCTCACTTCTGTCAAGCGACTTTGTTACCCACTTTGAAAAAAAGGTTGATGATATTCGCTCTTCTTTTTCTGACTCACCTATACTCACCGCTGGGTCACCAGACCTTCCTTCCACCAACACACTAACCTCCTTTTCCCCTCTCTCTCCAAGTGAGGTTCTTACCCTCATTACTTCTGCCCGCCCTACCACCTGTCCTCTGGACCCTATCCCTTCAAACCTCCTTCAGACTATCGCTCCTGATATTCTACCGTTTCTCACCCATTTCATCAACACTTCTCTAACTTCTGGTCACTTTCCAAACAGTCTCAAGGAGGCAAGAGTAAACCCTCTCCTAAAGAAACCCACTCTCAACCCGTCTGATGTTATAAACTACAGGCCTGTCTCTCTCCTCCCGTTCCTGTCTAAATCACTTGAACGCGCTGTCTTTAAACAACTCTCCTGTTATCTTAATCAGAACAACCTTCTGGATCCGCACCAGTCTGGTTTCAAGGCAGGTCACTCCACAGAAACTGCTCTCATTGCTGTCACGGAGGAACTGCACACTGCCAAAACTGCATCCCTCTCCTCTGTCATCATCCTGTTGGACCTGTCTGCTGCATTCGACACGGTGAATCATCAGATCCTCCTTCGCACTCTCCAAAAACATGGAGTTTCAGGCTCTGCTCTTTCCCTCCTCACCTCATACCTGAAAGACCGTACCTACAGGGTGACTTGGAGAGGGTCTGAGTCCGACCCTTGTCAATTAACTACAGGGGTCCCTCAGGGCTCTGTTCTTGGTCCCCTCCTCTTCTCCCTGTACACAAACTCGCTCGGATCAGTCATTAGCCCGCATGGTTTTTCTTACCACTGCTACGCTGATGACACCCAATTAATTCTGTCCTTTCCCCGCTCAGAGACCCAGGTCGTTGCACGCATCTCTGCTTGTCTAGCTGACATCTCTCAGTGGATGTCTGCTCACCACCTCAAGCTCAACCTTGACAAGACTGAGCTGCTCTACCTCCCGGGAAAAGATTGTCCCACTCTTGACCTAACAATTAACATCGGCACCTCAGTTGTTTCCCCGACTCAGACTGCAAGGAATCTGGGTGTGACCCTAGATAACAACCTGTCCTTCACTGCAAACATCGCTGCTACAACCCGTTGCTGCAGATACACGCTTTACAACATCAGGAAGATATGTCCCCAGCTGACACAGAACGCGACTCAGGTTCTGGTCCACGCTCTCGTCATCTCACGCCTAGACTACTGCAACTCCCTCCTGGCTGGTCTACCTGCATGTGCCATCCGACCTCTGCAGCTCATCCAGAATGCAGCGGCTCGTCTGGTCTTCAACCTTCCAAAATTTTCCCACACCACTCCGCTCCTCCGCTCCCTTCACTGGCTTCCGGTAACTGCTAGAATCCACTTCAAGACACTGGTACTTACCATGCTGCGAATGGATCTGGCCCTTCCTACATCCAGGACATGGTTAAACCGTACACCCCAGCGCGTGCACTACGCTCTGCATCAGCGAAACGACTCGCTGCGCCCTCGCTGCACGTGGGTTTGCTGTCCTGGCTCCAAGATGGTGGAATGAGCTCCCCATTGACATCAGGACGGCAGATAGCTTGCACATCTTCCGGCGCAAACTGAAAACTCATCTCTTTCGACTCCACTTCGAGCGTTAGAACTATTAACGAAGCACTTTTATACTAATAAAGGACTGGCTTACCTAAAGCCAGTTGAGTAGCACTTGAAATGTTTGGCTCTATGAAACCTGATGTACTTATATGATTCTGTTTTCTTCAAGGTTGTGTCTTCCTGGTCGAATGTACTTATTGTAAGTCGCTTTGGACAAAAGCGTCAGCTAAATGCAATGTAATGTAATATACGCAGCTACACATGCAGTAAAGACAAAAATAACAACACAAATAAAGAAGATTAAAGAAGGTTTGAGAAAATAATATTACAAAATCTAAAGGTAATATTTCAAATATGATTTACAGAAATACATTTCTGGTTTTGATTGATTTGTATTCAATGTATTACTTCCATAGGTTATCCGCACATTCTGTTCATGTACGGGACTTTTGCATGACAACAGCGCCATCTAGCGTTTGTGCGCGGCAGACACACAGCTAAAGACGGAAGTAGCCGCTGTGTCGGTGACACGTCACTGAGGTCAGACTGGAGGAAAGATGGCGAGCACCTATTCGAGTTTCAACCTGTAAGTATTCTGGATCAGTTTATTAGCAGCACACAGCTTTACTTTGTGTAACAGTGAGTGTATGTGGGGTGCTGGCACGTGCGGCCCGGCAGCAGCGTCACTGCCGCACGAGGGGCTACCGCTCCTTCTCTCAGTTTGCTTCTAATGAGCTCTTAGCATCGAGCTGGACCAGTTACATTACTGTGCTGATATACACCTTCACTGCCGCTCTGCTCCACCTCTGCAGCAGCTCCAACAGCTCAGAGTTAGACAGATACTTCCATATATGTATTACTGACGTACTTACACAGAGCCCTGCTGCTGTGGTGGTGGGTGGTGTTTGTGTTGGCCCCTGGTAGGTTTCACAATACAGCCTGTTGGAATATTGTGCAATATACCTGCAATGATACCTTTTAATATGATATAATAATTATAATATAATAACACTACAAACACTTTTTTTTTGTAACTACTATTGATCATAATAATTTTTTGTAAAATCTCAAAACCTTAGCTATTGAAAATGCTGCTACTCATTTTGAGCCATGGATGAGTATTTATCTTCTTTATTTTATCACCATTGTTTGCTTTTATCTATATTTCACTTGCTGGCTTACTCTTTATTATTGCTTGCCTTTTTTACCTATGTCACTTTGGTTTTAACGCTGATTCTGATAATGGTGCTGCTGCTTGTTCTGCTCATGGTGCTGGTGTGTGTGCTGCGTGTGATGATCCCTTTCAGTGTTGTAGTTTAAAACAGTGTGTGTGTCTCATCAGGCGCACCACCCAGGAGAAGTTCTACATCGAGGTGTGTGATGAGGGCTCTGAGGAGGTGCTGGCTGTGGACAGAGTGTCCACAGAGATGACCCTCACAGGTAAGAACAGATGGGGGGGTATCATTGAATGAGAACATACTGATTGACACACACACACACACACACACACACAGACTTCAGATTGTAGAAAAAGCTGACACTCGTTGGACAACTATGATTACTTTTCTATACATTTAATCGATAAAACTATTAAGTAATTTGGTGATTCCACAATGATGACTTGGTTATTAGTTCAGTCTCTAACCCTTGCTGTGTCCCTGCTGTGTCCTCAGTGAAGAGGGACGTCCCTGCAGGGGCTGACAGCCGGCCCATATGTGGCCTCATGGGGACCATACGTTTGGTGGCAGGTGAGTTCAGTAGGCAATATTCCTGCTGAAACGTTTGGTGGCATCATTTGGTGTATTGAGATTTGCGGCACATTTTCACACCCCCTTTTTTTCTAGGCAATTATCTGGTTGTCATCACCAAGAAGAAGAAGGTGGGAGATCTCCTGGGCCATGCTGTGTGGAAGGCTGTGGACTTTGACATCATCTCCTATAAAAAGACAATACTTCACCTGACAGACAACCAGGTAGGATGCTGTGGTTCTGAGAGTAATCCATGGGGGGGGGGGGGGCTAGCTGACGGACGCCACGTCACATGCTGGGAGGGCCTGTCCATCATCAAGCATCACTGCTTAACCGCACCGCACTGTAGGCCTTGAGTTGCTGTGTTCCCAAAACTGAAAAGAGATCTCCCTCTAGTCTAGGAAAAAAACGTAACTTGCCAAAATGATTTGTTTTGAACGTTCATCAGTATTATAATCAAAAAGAGAAATATGAACGTTAGTTTTTACTGAAATGATCAAATAAAGTCAACATTTCACAGTCTTTACTGAGCTGTGTGGGGTTTGTTCAACTTTTAAAAGATGTTTGAATGGTGATACACAGTGTGATAGATGTTAAGGACTAACGTTTATAATAAATACAACTGTATTTATTTTAAAATCTTTTCATACAATCATACGTATTGGGATTCATGTGAATTAATACTGTGAAGCCTAAGTTTCACTTTCCTTTTATTTCAATTCCAACTTTGGTCATGAAGAATATGTTTCTCTGTTGTCCACGTTCATAAAGCATAAAGCAACAGCATCAGAGCACGGTGCAGAGTCTCTAGATGAGTTTACAGGAGTCCCTCCTTCTTATTGAACATCCATGTTGTAGTCCGCTGTATAGAAAACTGTAGTTTCCATAGTTTCCCCACAGCAGCAGACGCACATTCATGACGTCCGCTGGCGCATCATAAACACGTCGGATAGTGAAAGTGCATTCGGATTCTCTAAAGTACCGCGGTCTCTTCTCCTAAGTCCTTTTGAATTCTCCTATCCACTATCCCTTAACCCCGTGGATTTTTGAGGTCACAGGGTTAAGGGATACTTACTTACCGTTACTGTTTACTTCCTTTCTTTATTCTACAGCTGTTCCCGTTAGTGTTTACTTCCTGTCTGTCTTCTTCTGCTGTTCCCGTTAGTGTTTACTTCCTGTCTGTCTTCTTCTGCTGTTCCCGTTAGTGTTTACTTCCTGTCTGTCTTCTTCTGCTGTTCCCGTTAGTGTTTACTTCCTGTATGTCTTCTTCTGCTGTTCCCGTTAGTGTTTACTTCCTGTCTGTCTTCTTCTGCTGTTCCCGTTAGTGTTTCCTTCCTGTCTGTCTTCTTCTGCTGTTCCCATTAGTGTTTACTTCCTGTCTGTCTTCTTCTGCTGTTCCCGTTAGTGTTTACTTCCTGTCTGTCTTCTTCTGCTGTTCCCGTTAGTGTTTACTTCCTGTCTGTCTTCTTCTGCTGTTCCCGTTAGTGTTTACTTCCTGTCTGTCTTCTTCTGCTGTTCCCGTTAGTGTTTACTTCCTGCCCATTCTGTGAATTGATGTGAATGCACATAGTCCCTTGATCCTCCTTAGCAACGATCTGTTCTCCTTAGCAGCGGTCAGTTAGCGAAAAATAACAGACCTCTGGCATGTCCAAATAGACCAATTCAGTATTCAACTAGGAGTAATAATGTCATGTAATATTATTCCCATTTCATCAGTGGGACAGAACTATCTTAGTTGGTTCTACTGGGGACACTCTGTGCTTACTCTTAATCACCTTTTCTCTCTGGTTAATGCATTTCTTGTGTAACCTATAGTTTTTGGAGCAGGTCAGCTAAACACACACACACACACACACACACACACACACACACACACGCACACACACACACACACGCGCACACGCACACGCACACACACAACAGATAGTTGTTGGAGGAGGCTAGGGAGGATTTAGATGTAAAAAAACGAGTCTACGAGCAGTCTCTTCTTCTGCTGACTGTTTTCAGTATTTATCGTTGACCTCTGCTGCTGCTGCTGCTCTTGTTTCAGATGCAAGACAACAAGACGTTCATGTCCATGATCAACAATGTGCTGCACACAGACGGCTTCTACTTTGCGACGGACTACGACCTGACGCACACTCTGCAGCGCCTGGCCAACACCAGCCCCGAGTTCCAGGAGATGAGTCTTCTGGAGAGGGTAAGCCTCATGCAGGCTCTGTGAGGAAAGACATGCCCAATCAGGAAACTGTTGGACATAAAAAGATCATTCACAGAATCCATTCAAAGGTTTTTGTATGGTCCTATGAGTTAAAACCCATATATCTCAATGGGTAATTCCAAATATGCAACTACACCGCTTTTGTTATAAAAAATTAAGGGGCCCTATTTTTTTTTTAATATATATATATAGCACCAAATTGCAACTTATCTATATCTACTGTCACTTTTCACATTGAACTTGTGCTCTTTTATTAAATAAACTAAACGCTTTCATTTTAAGTTGAGTTTAGTGTTTTTGACCCTAAGAAACACTGATGCAATAATCCACAGCTCCTCTCTCTGCTCCAGAGGATTTTTTTTTTAAAATATCCCAATGCCCCAAAACGTCTCACCTCATTTGAATACTGAGGGTAGCTGCAAGACAAGCAATCACAAGAAGATGGACGGACATCCCATCTGTAGAAAACGGATGATGATATAATACATACAATATGTGTAAAGGAGACAATCACTTCCTCCATGAGGCTTCAGGAAAACCAATTTGAGGAATCTTGAAAAAAGTGATTAGAATATATTTTCTCTCAATGGCCCTCCTGTGGTGGATTGTGCTTCTGTACTCTCCCTGCTATTTTTTGTTCTTCTTCAAACTGAAAATATTTCTCTTTTTTATTTATTTATTTTGTTTGCTTATTTATTTATGGTTATTTTGTTCGGCGTTTTCGGATCACTTAATAGATGAACTGTCGATTGAGCTAAATGTAATATAAATAAATCATTTTTTTAGTTTTGAATGTTCCCTACAGTGGGCCTCCTCCAGGTGTAGCCCACACCGATGGGTCCCCCTGTATTTGTCTCTGTATAACATGCTATAACGTGCTCTCTGTCCCTGTTCAGGCAGATCAGCGTTTTGTCTGGAACGGACATCTGTTGAGAGAATTCCTTGCACAGCCAGAGGTAAGACACAATGTCTCACTGCTGATTATTCCCCATGAGCATCCTCAATAACACAGGAACGATACACACCTACAGTTAGAGTAGTAACCGCAACAACGGATTTCAACCATTTCCCGTCAACTCGTCATCACCCACCTCAACAACTAAAGACAAATACTTCCTATGTTTCCATCCTAACATGGAATACCACTTTTTATTGTCTCATTATATTTGAAGCATCCCCCGACTGTAATACAGTCATATAGAACCTTTAAGCTGTAACACAACAATAAAGACATTGTTGTGATTAGAATTATAAAAATGTATTCAATATATTTAAGTGCTTAGGAAAACATGTTATTTTCAAATTCCTGTTGCAGTTTAGCAGTTTACAATAATTTGAAATGGCTCATTTACCTCGTTTGTTATTCTGCCCTTGTAGCCCAGGCAACAGCAGTTATAGATCTGTATTTCCTCAACAACATGTAACCTCTGGTGAGTTGCTCAGTTATTGGTGGAGAAGGCTTGTCGGCCTTGATATCCTATAGGGAGACATTGGAAATAAAGCAAAATGTTGCCTGCTTAATCCTGACTGTAAGAACATCTCAAAGGTAACATTGTATTTCCTCTAGTTCAGTCAAATAAAGCTTATCATTGTCTGACACTGCTCTTATCTTCCAGGTACACAAGTTTGTGTTTCCTGTTATCCATGGCTGTATCCTTCCCTGCTGCTGTCTGACTGACACTTTCACTGCACATTGGTGTTTTAGTGAAGGAGTGTGAGAACCTGCATGTTGGGCCCATCTCAACATAAGTAAAGCCTTTTAATAAGTTGGGCTCTTTTGGTTATTCTTTGTGAAGTCTGGCTTCTGTACTTTGTTGATAGAAGTGTTTTTGTGCCCAGATGAAGAAAAACAGCAAGATTTCTGGGAACGATTTCTTAATGTGTATAGCGCTCCTTGATTTTGCATGTGAGTTTCTTGACACATTTGTTGAGCAGTCATCGACATGCGGTCGAGCTGCATCAATGGGAAGGTGTTCGAGTGGAGCATCATCTCCAGGAGGAGCTGCTTCAGAGCCGGAGTCCGCTACTACGTCCGAGGTAACACCTTTTCTGTGTCTAGGTGTCTTCCAACATACTGAAAATGTGCAGATTATTTATGGCAGGACAAAAAGTAGTTATCAGAATCATAGACAGGTTTATTACCAGGTAGGTTTACACCTACGAGGAATTTGACTTGGTGTCGTGGTGCATAAAAACAAGAATGAAAAACACAGGAAGAGAACTAGAAACATATTTAAAATAGAGTATTTACATTGAAATAGAGGAATAAAATATGGAATAAAAATCAGCTGTAATACAAATAATGTTGTACATTGTGTGTGCATTAATGTAATGCATAGAATCTATGATGTGGCTGAGGTAAAGTGAGTGGGGGGGCTGGGCCTTGTTGATGAGGCTGGTAGCGGGGGGGAAGAAACTGTTCAGGTGGCGAGAGGATTTGGTCCTGATGGAGCGCAGCCTCCTGCCTGAGGGGAGGGGGGTGAACAGTTTGGGTCCAGGGTGGCAGGGGTCGGCCACTGTCTTCCCTTCCCGCCTCAGGGTCCTGGATGCGTGGAGGGATGGCAGATTGCAGCCGATCACCTTCTCTGCAGAGCGGATGACTCGCTGCATGTACAGAAAAATCTGTAGCAAAGAAAATGCATCATGACATATTATTTCAATGTCAGTATTTATATTACCTGCTGCTATAATGTTATACCCAGCCAACCCAGTCAGTGAGAAGCTTCTCCTGCATAATGTCTGTTTCTGTGCAGGCATCGACTCTGAAGGCCATCCTGCTAACTACGTGGAGACGGAGCAGATCGTTCAGTTCAACAGCTCCAAGGCTTCTTTTGTTCAGGTGAGCCAGAGAGGAGAGGTAGTCTGCTGTAAGGAAGCAGTGAAGGATTCATCTAATAAGGGTTCAGTGAAGAACAACAGTCAAGACACTTTCAAATGTCATGTCAACGTTTTGTTTTCATATCATGAGGGTTGGGTATCGTTTGGATTTGAACTATTCCTCTTCCGATTTCGGTTCTGCTTATTGATTTAGGTTCCTTTCAGTTCTTTATTTCTGTATTTTGTGAAGGTAAAAACTCAAATGCATATTTCACAGAAGAAGAAATTATAATTATGAAACCCTAAAATGTACATTCACGAATCACTTCATCCAAGTTAGTTCTAAGAGGTTCAACTTGACAATGTGCGACTCCCACGGTCTCCTCCAGTGTCCAACCATACACTGCTTGTATATCCAACATATGTTGTGTAGTAAACACCCGTCTGCTGCCAGATTGCTGTTTGCAAAAGTAAGGACATCAGAATTGAATTCAAAAAGTAACCTTCTCGACCCTGCTCTATAGAGGCCAAACTGACTTTCCTCTGCCGAAGTCTGTCTCACTAACTGATAAGCAAAACCATAATTAAATTGCTTTCTTTGAGCACCAGGTACCAGGCAATTGGTATCGGTTCTAGTTTGGGCTCCCAACCCTAAACATGATACCATGCTTTGCAAACCATATGTGTTCAGTTTGTGCTAGTTCAGTACGTTTATACACCTTGATATGAGTTTCATATTTCCACACAGTGCTGCTGCGGTCAGCAGCTCATAGCTGAAGCTGAGATGAAAAGCTGCAAACTTTACTTGGTTAAATGTGTGTTGAGTTCATGAAAGCAGGATGATGATGATATGCTTCTCTCCACAGACCAGAGGCTCCATCCCCTTCTTCTGGTCCCAGAGGCCCAACCTCAAGTACAAGCCCAAACCACAGATCAGCAAAACAGTGAACCACGTAAGCTGACCTCACAGCAACACGAGACACAACCAGACCTCACAGTGTCTTCACCTGTCACTCAGCCTCTCTTCTCTCTGTTCTTCTGTAGTTGGACGGGTTCCAGAGACACTTTGACTCGCAGGTTATTCTCTATGGAAAACAAGTCATTTTGAACTTGGTAAGATGATCTAATAATCACGTTGGTGTGTTGGTTCTATCAGTTATGAAGTCAATGATTCAGCTGGATGTTGGTTTCACACTCTTCAATCCTTCCCTGACTACAAAGAAGCAGTCAAATTAATGAAAGAGGCCCTATTATGCTTTTGGGGATTTCCCCTTCCCTGTAGTGTGTTAAGGCCCTGTCACACTGTCCCGAAATTGACACCCGATGGACACACGAATATGGAATTGTGAATTTCGCACGATGTTGGCCCCGAACCACACACGAAGGCAACATTTACATTACATTTAAGACATACAACTGCAATGAAAGTACCAAAAACAATTGTGTTACAGTACTATGATACTGTACTGATATTTTCAGACTTTGTTCTTTACTTTATCCGTCGTTATATGTAGAAAATATTACGTTTTCTCCGTAATGTTGTTTCCATAACAACAACAACTTCCTGTCAACTGTCCTTCAAAATAAGATATTATATCCTTTTTAGTTTCACAGAACACAAATTGGGTTATTTACATAATATATTTACATGATTTTGTTGTGCAATAAAACAACCCGATGGACACACGATAAAGGAAATGTTCAAATTCGGCTGTGATCGTAGCAACATCGGGCCATTCGTGAGGGCATCTTAAGCCATCGTATGACCGCCGGTGGAGTTTCTCAGGCTCCGGCAGCAACTTCGTGAGCGGTGGCAAAATCTTTGGCATGCCAAAAAATTGCCGAAGGACCTTGCGAAGGTTCATTTTCGTGTTGAATTCGTGTGTCAATTGTGCCCTTCGTAAGGCCATCGTGAGGGCATCGTGTTATCATCGGTGCCATCGGGCATTCGCCCCGATCAGAGTGAGGGCGAATGCCCGATGGCACCGATGATAACACGAAGATGACACGATTTGACAAGATGTCCTCACGAGTGCCTTACGAAGTTGCCGCTCACTAAGTTGCTGCCGGAGCCTGAGAAACTCCACCAGCGGTCATACGATGGCTTAAGATGCCCTCACGAATGGCCCGATGTTGCTACGATCACAGCCGAATTTGAACATTTCCTTTATCGTGTGTCCATCGGGGGTCAATTTCGGGACAGTGTGACAGGGCCTTTATAGGTTAGTGTGCATGTAAATGTTCTGCAAAGGCCAACATCCCTGTGCCCCCCCCCCTGCCTGAAACGCCTACTTTGCTTCTATAACATAGTGACATCACCAACATAACACTCAAAGTTCTATTGGCTAATGTGCCAACACATTATACATAATAGGCTAAGGGGTTGGACATCTCTAAGCAGTTGACTAATCACAACAGAGCCGGCCAGCTAACCAATCAGAGCAGACTGGGCTCTGGTTTCAGACAGAGGGTGAAAAGAGGTGCTGCAGCACAGGCAGTGTGAGAAAAATAAAGAGCTTTTTGAACATTAAAGCATGGAGACAGTAGAGGCACACAATACAAATATGAACCTGAACATGAGCATAACATGTCCTCTATAATACAATGACTATGATATACCCATTAATGCTGGTTTGTCTTTGGTTTTTTTCACAGATCAACCAAAAGGGCTCAGAGAAGCCGCTGGAGCTGGCCTTCGACAAGATGGTGGCCGACCTGGGAAACGGCATGGTCAAGTAAGATGACCGGCAGCCCACATGTGGCCTCCTACTTACAACACGTTGCTTAGTTGAGTTCATTATATTTTGTCGTATATTATAGTCTTGCCTTTTCTGCAGGTACATCGCCTTTGACTTCCATAAGGAGTGCAGTCGGATGAGGTGGCACCGCCTGCAGATCTTGTTGGATATGGTCGCTGAGATGCAGGATGAACTTGGGTCAGTTTGCGTGAGCCACTAACCAGGTACACATGTATGCACTCTGCATCAGAAGTAATGCTGTGTGTGTGGATGCAGATACTTCCTGGTGGACGCAGATGGGAAGGTGCTGCTGCATCAGGACGGCACGTTTCGCAGTAACTGCATGGACTGCCTGGACCGGACCAACGTCATCCAGAGCATGCTGGCCCAGCGCGCCCTGCAGTCACAGCTCCGGGTACAGGCAACCACAGACTACACCCATAATGCTTTAGGAGGTGGACATAGTGACAGGAACAAGAGCACATAGAGGACACTTGAATCTGTGTTACAATGCATCCCAGTGGAGAAAGACATAAGGCGCATTCACACTGCAGTACTTTTCCCACAAAGGTTCATCAGAACATAGTTCATGAGAACTCTTTAGTTCTCATGAACTAAGTACAGATCGCGTTCACACCGGAATAAATCCCTGAGGGAGGATTAGGCAAATGAAGCCGCTGATGTCACTTCTTCTTCTTCTTCTTCTTCTTCTTCTTCTTCTGCTTTGGGTTTACTGGCAGGCCGCAAACCACTTCACGGCGTATACTGCCACCCAAAGTCCCCGGCCGGAAGTCCCCGGAGTTGGGGAAGGCTTCAGTAGAAGCTGCTGGGACTCCCAGCAGCTTCTACTGAAGCCTTCCGAGTAAATCGCCAGAACGCCGACACCTCCTCATCTCCACCACTCCCATGTTTTATTTTGTGTTGCCATAAGTTAGTCTCTCTGCGTTTGTGCGCTGGGCTAATGCTAATGCTAATAATGCTAATGCGAGGATAATAAAATGGCGGCTTCACAAAACGTTTTGGGAGTTTTACGGGGCGTGGTTTGCAATCCGCCCAGCCAATCAGAAATAGGAACCTTTTTCTCCCACGAAAGTCCCTGCTCTCTAGCAGGGACGGAAAAGGGGGTGAAAAGGTTCTCATTAACTCATTTTAGTTCCGGCTCTTTTTGGTGTGAACGCAACATTTCGGAACTATATCGGAACTAAAGTGGGAAAAGTACTGCGGTGTGAACGCGCCTATTGAAACAGTCTAGTCCAACTTCTCCACTCTATCATTTTTCAGTGTAAATATTAATTTGTCAAACAAAAATGGACATTTAACTTGATTTCTGATTAGTTGTTAGTTTTTGATTCTTTGGACACGTCATTGCAAACTATTCAACTATTAGGTGGTTTCTTATCAATTCAATAAGAAAGTCTGGTTTTTAATTGAACTGGATTTTGAGATTAGATTCAACTTTATTGACGTTGCACAGAGTTCAAGTACTGACACAACGACATATAAATAGTATATACAGGTGAACTTGTAGGAAGTGTTGCACTAACAGCTAATGAACCGACTCGACTCAAATGTGTGTGTGTGCCTACAGAAAATGGGAGTCCTCCACGTCGGTCAGCAGATCGAAGAGCAGGTGGCCTTTGGGAAGATGTTCAAGAATGGTAGCCCCTCCCCTCCCACAACAGTGGCTCGTCTACATTAAAGGTCCTAGATGTTAACTTGATCTGTTTCTCTTCCTGTTCTCATGCAGCCTGGGCAGACAATGCTGATGCCTGTGCCAAGCAGTACGCTGGCACTGGAGCCCTGAAGACTGACTTCACCAGGTCAGATATCAAATCATATTTCAAAATCTACCACAAGGACCTGAAATACCACCATTGGATTAGCTAGGATTCTGAAATATTTGTACTCTATAACAAAGCATTTTAGCAGGCAGTCCCCCTTTAATGTTCAACAGACAGTAACTGATTGTTCGCATGGTTTTATTTATTCTATTGATTAGGCTAACTCATTTTAAGCTAGTAGCATCGAGGAGGAGGATGTTTTGTTTTACTCTGATGAGAAAAGTGCACAGAAATGTTGGTCAATAGAGAATTCAGTTTGGTGTTGAACTACATGGTGATCTTTCAGGACAGGGAAGAGGACTCATTGGGGGCTGGTGATGGACGGCTGGAACTCCATGATCCGATATTACAAGAACAACTTCTCTGATGGATATAGACAGGTGGGTCCAAACATGTGTGGATAAGTCTTTGTGTTTACCACTCCGCCATATTAAACTCGCTTATTACACCGCTATTTACCAAATACATCATTGATTTGACTTACATAAACAAATTACGATTGTATTGTTTCTACTAAGCAAATATAGCTCTTTCAACTGCATAGCAACATAACTTCAAATTACCGCATCAATGAAGGTTTCCTGTAACTGTCCACGTCTGTTCACTTTAACCATTTAATCATTTTCCATTAACCAGTCTTTAAACACTGCCAGAGCCCATAAAGTATCCAATAGTATTTTTGGGCCACAGCTGACCAAAATTGACCAGACTTCTTTCTGCGGATTGATATGACATCTGAATTAAGAGATGCACTCAACTGCAAAAAGCTAAGAAGAGTAGGTAACAGTTGTCTGTTTTGTGCAGGACTCCATTGATCTGTTCCTAGGCAACTATGCTGTGGATGAATCTGATTGGACCACTCCGCTGCGTGAGCCCAAAGACTGGAAGTTCTTGACGGTAAGAAAGGCTCACAGAGGTGGAGTGATGGGTTTATGTCTCTTTGTGATGTGTTTGACGGGTCTCTTTTTCCTTTCCTAGTTGCCTATCGTCATGGTGGTAGCTTTCTCCATGTGCATCATCTGCCTGCTGATGGCTGGTAAGACAAACGGCAAATCCATTTTCATACATACACTACAAATATAACAACACCAGGGTTTATTTATCTTTACATTAAGCTAAATACAATGTGTGCACTAATGAACAGAAGATACATTGACAGAGACTCAGGGATTTGAGCCTTTGCTGACTATGTACATACACACAAACCTATAACACACCCCAAAAAGCACAATAGTGGCTCTTCAAATGTCTCCCACTGACTCTGCATGTTGTCCCCTGTTAGGTGAAACGTGGACGGAGACCCTGGCCTACGTGCTGTTCTGGGGGTCTGCCAGCGTGGTGACCAGCGGCCTCATCCTCTTTAACGGACCCGACTTTGTAGATGCTCCAAGGCTGGTCCAGAAGGAGAAGCTGGACTGAATGTGTGTGTGTGGAAAGCAGCTCGGCCCCAGGGAGCTCACCACCTCCCCCCCCGGCTCTTCAGCATCACTTTACCCCCAGCATGAGCGAGGCTGGAGCCTGTACTGACGGGGGGAGAGTGCCGGGACGCAGGGCCATCCTCGTGCACGACTAAGTGGAGGGACAGAGACTGAGTGCACGAGCCGCTGCTGTCCACACTGCAGCTGCTGTCACGTGGACAGGACTGTCTGTCCACCCTTTTACTGGACACTGGACCTCGGGACGTTTGATTGTCCCTCATTTCAGAGAAACGTTTGCATTTAAATAGCTTCACTGGGATCAGATTCATACGGAAAATAATTAGGGCCACGTGAATGTCTTTTTAGATCTGACAAAAAGTGATTGTTTTTTCTTTAGTTATAAGATTAAAGTCATAAATCCGACTTGTTTTCTGAAAATCTCACACATTTTAAGAAAAAGTCAAAATTCTCAGTATTTAAAAATATCTTAGAATTATGACTCATATTTAAAAAGAAAAAAATTCTGAGATAAGTCTGGCATTTTTTTCCGAATTTTTACTTTTTTTCTCAGTACTAAAAGAAAATCACTTTTGGTCAGATTTCTAAACAAAATCCACATGTGGCCCTAATCCTCCTCCATAGGTCACATGACACTGTGCTGTAATGAACTACTGTATGTGCCGTTAATTTGCCTTTTCTTTTCGCCAATTGTGTTTATCTGTGTGCAGCAGCCTCATCCCTGTTGGAAGGCATCGACACCATCACATGAGCCCTTAGGCCCCTAACATTTTGCAGCAGGGTGTCCTCACCTCCAAATGCCTGTTAGACTCTCTGAATGGTGCCAACAAGCGGATTCCTTCAAATTGTCAGGAAACACATATTTAACACGTATCTGTAATTATCATCAGCCAGTGGTAGTTATTTATACACCAAGTTATCATATGAGGCCACTGCAGAATGTAAGTAGGAAGGCAAGATACAGCCCACATCTGTTCCTGTTAGCTGTTAGCATTTCCTCAATCATCATGAGTTCGTTACAGCTGTCTGTCAATTTATAGCGGAAAGTTATTGGTGGACAGAAATTAGTATTTTGTGCACCTTGTTTATTTAATTATCGCCCTTAAATTAGTCATTTGTGAGCAGGAGTAAACAGAACGAGTTATTAAACACTTATTAAGATATTAACATTCAAAGATGCAATGTTGTTAAATACTGAATCTGAGATATCAGCAGTAGGAGGTGAAGTTTGTTAAGTTCCAAAGTACAGTGGCTGACGGGTGCAAACGGCCCAAAACATTTGCATTAGGAGAAACATGCAGTTTAGAAAAACATTTACAAACTTCAAGAAAAATGTGCAACGTTTAGTAAAAGAGCTTCAATAAACAAAACGCTGCAAATACAAAACTATTGCAGATCTGCAGTAAGCTAGCTAGCTAACGTAGCTAACCTAGTCATTTCAGAAAATACTGACAAAACACGTACAGTTATGAAACAGAGAAAATGTGTGTAATCCCTGAACGTCAACAAGGGTCCCAGCTGTGTGCATCATTTCTTTGTCTCCCTGTTTCAGTTGTGTTTTGAGCTTCTTGCAGCATTTGTATTTGCAGTGTTTCATTTATGCAGCACTTTTAGTAAATGTGCATCTGTTGTCAAGTTTGGGAAGATGTTTCTTTTCATTTGCATGTTTGTGTTTTTGTGGCACGTTTGTGTTTTTTATTTGTATTGTTCTTTATGGAAATGTTTGGGCTGTTGTATTGCCTTTGCACCTGTCGGCCACCGTACCACAGTGTACTTTGTTATTTCTTATCATTTTGGTTGTCACATCCATCACACTGTATATTGGATTAGCTCAGCTTCTGCTGCTATCAGTTGGCTGCTCAGTCTGACTGCTAAGACTTGGGAGATGCATGAGTTTAGTTCAGAGGTCTGCTGTCTAACAACGTTTAGTTATCTCTGGCATTCCTAAAATATACTTTAACAATATTGTTTTAAGCTCTGTGAAGTCATGATGGAGTTATGCCGCTGCTGAGAATCACAAATGCATTACTATCTGTGTCTTTGCTTATTTATCATGAGGGAACCACATGACCTGTATGAGTAATTCAGGACAATTTGTGGTATTTACTTGTTCTTAAATTCCTCTCTTAGGTACCAATGTTGATGAGTGGTCGAGTCATGGCAGCCCATTTTATTTGAGAAAATGTAAAGCCTTAATATGAATTAATTTGGAGTGTTATTATGATGTTGACTCGAATAAAAATATTTAGCTAAGACGAACCTAATGAAAAGTTCATATTCTCTTCACCATGGTATCCAATCCGTGGCATACGATCGGAATCTCCAGGCTGCAGCTGTACAGGAATAAACAGGGCAGAGGGTCTGTGGTCCTAGTTTTTCTCCATGCTTGTGAAACACACACTAAATAAGGACTTCCACCAAGGTGATTTTATTTCATTGCAACACAGAAAAAGGAAACATTGTATTTTCTCTGTCTCTGTTATCCACAGCATATATTGCGCACATAAAAGCCATTACTGCCATCTACTGGTGAACAGGTTTTAGCCCCAGAGCCTCTTAATGTGAGAGCAGATGGTTTCCTACGGTCTTGAGAGTGATAAAAAGCATTACAAAATGTTAACCACAAAACTAATAGATTGTGGGGGAACGATGGAAATCTCATAAATGAATACAAAAATGATTTTGGGCGTAACCTAAATCACTAAATTGTCCTTCAAGGTGTGAAAAAAAGTCAGTCAGTAGGTGGAAAATGACACATTCATTTCACTTTATTGAAAGCTTTGTTCTGTTGTCATTTCTGTTCATTTGAGGGCAGCTCTTATTTATGTGAAGGCAAACAAAAGCTTACTTATGTAACCCAGATCTCCACAGCAGGAGTGGCTCCACAATGTCAGGAAATCCAAACAAGCCCTGCTTTCATAGAGGTTAGGAATTTAAAGAGGATTGGAATTTGGTGTGGAATGTGCTGTTTGGTAGTGGAGTGAAACTGAGTTGCAGAACTCAGTTTCTGATCCTTTTGATAACACTATACAACTGAGTGGAAGTGATGCTTTTGTGATGCAATTTAAACAGATGCTCAAAGTATGGCATTAAACATTTATACCAGTTTGTGTTATGATCCTCTGATCTTAACTAGTCAAAAAATGATCTCCCATAAAATACGTTTCTTTGTTTATTGTAAATGAGGTGTATTGACAATATATGTAAACATATGAGAAAAACCTATTGTGAGTTTTAATTAAGTCGGTGGTTAATGTTTAACACAGATTTGGTCGATGATAACATAGAGGTTAATCTACAGGACGTTATGAGATATTTTAAGTAATATCACTGATGTGCAATACCCTGGGTTGGGAGGGTTACTTTGTAAATGTAATCAGTTACTGATTACTGAATACATGGCTCTGAAAGTAATCTGAATACCGTTACAGTTAGGCTACGTGTTTTAAAAAAGTAACTTAATCAGATTACTTTTAGATTACTTTCTTTTTCCATCACAGATGGGTATGTTTTGGTGAACAGAAGACACAAAAAGAAAAAGGAAACTGAACATGTTTTTACTGTTTTAATGGCGTATCAAGAGCACAACTGAAACATAGCATCTGAAACGATGTAACAACATAATACACTTTTTGGGGATGCAGCTTGGGATGTGAGGAGTGAGGGACACGGCTTAGAACGGGCGTGTCGCCTTCTGTCCTGCCAGTGTTGGCAGGACATGAATTAAAATGTCGAACTCGGACTTAATTGTAAGGACATTTCGGCCAGGGGTGTAGACAGACCCGGCGCCAGAACAAATCTAAAGGGAGGGCATATGATTTTCATGGGAGGGCACACAAAACTGTCACGTGCTGCGGGCCTGCGGCACAATATCAAACAGCGTTGCGTAAAGACGCACACTTATCGCAAATACATACACAAATAAAGGGCAACATAGAAACCACTTTTGAAACATTGTGTGCATGGCAGCACAAACACTGGTAAATCACGAGCAAGGCACACTGGTTAAGGATGGCAGCTTCCTCATCGTTGCACTCGGAGAGAAATAGTAGAGACGGAGACGATGAGCTGCTGTTAGCTCTATTATGGCATGGTGCATGTCGTGAGAGGTGTATGTTGCTGTGTGGGGAATGCTTTCCATTATTTTGGCCAACTCTGCATCTTTGTGCAGCGTATACTCAAACAGCGATAGGAAGAGCCCACTGCCTGAGTCGGACATGCTGTGGAGTGAACCGTGGTCACCTCTGAGAGGGAGTTGGTTGACAGCTAAAAAAGCTATAATATTAACGATAGCTGACACGTAATAACGGTTCCGTGCCAGCTGATCTGCACCAAAGTACTAATTTCCTTATTTGTTTCCTCGCGTATCTGTCTCTCTCTCTCCACACACTCTCACATGAAATGTGTTCTTTTGATGCGGCATGCCTTAGCAGTCCTTTATCAGTCTGTAATGCGTATTTCCAGTCGCAAAAACCTTTGACAGTAAAAGCCGCATCAGATGAAGACGTATTTACTTTAAACTGTCTAAAAAAGGCTGCGTCTGCTTTTAACGAATATTCAAGCCATGGTCTGTTGTACCATGCAGCGGAAAAAGTGCGCTTCTTTCCTGAAAACAATCTCCCTGGATAACGATCCAGTTTCACCTGGTTGGGTTTATTTACCCCAAGATCATCTGGGGCTGTTGGTCTTTGAGCGGTTGCTGGCCCAATAGTACCTGTTGATGTGCTGCAAGGTAGCGTCTGTAGTGGAGGCACCGGCACGGAGCAGGAGGATGCTGGCAGGTGTGGTACAGGGTGTGGCAACGCAGGTGGTGATGGTAGGAGCAGGGGCGGATCTAGACAAATATTCATGGGGTGGCAAGAGGGTGGCAGGAGATTTTGAGGGGTGGCATCCCCTGACAGAAGTATATGCTGATTTAAATCGCAATCATATCAATCAATTAGGGGTGTAACGGTACACGTACCCGTACTGAAATTATTCGGTACGGGCCCTTCGGTTCGGTACACATGTGTACCGAACGAATATAGCGTTAAACGTAAACAAATTGAGAACATGAACAACTTTCTGGAAGTAATCTCAGGTATATATCATAGAGCGACCAAGTAATTTCATTGGACGAGAGGCATACTATGAGAGCTGGTCACAGGGATGCGTTCAAATGTAGTCAGTAATTTAAGGAACTGTCAAAATGGCGAACGCAGATAAAGTTGAGCTGAAAATCCTCCAGCATCATTGAAGTCTCCGGTTTGGGAACATTTTGGTTTCGCAGTTACGTACAAGGATGACAGACAAAGACAGGTGGACTGAACCAAAGCTGTTTGTCGGTATTGTTCAACTAACATTGGTTACGCGGCTGGCAATACATCACACTCATTTGAAAAGGCATCACCCGAATGTGAATATCACCGGTACCAAAAGAAAAAAGACTGAAGTGCAAACCCAACTCCCACTAGCATGTAAGCCTCCACCACTCGCAAAGAGTTCAGACCGAGCCAAAGCTATTAAAAACGCCAAATATCCTTATGTTGCCATGTTAGCAAAGCGCTACCTGGCTGTGCTACCTCTGTCCCTAGAGAGGGTGTTCTCCACAGCAGGAGACATTGTTAGTGCCAGCAGATCTGCCATTTCAGCAAGCAATGTGGACAAGTTCATCTTTCTTTAAACAACATGAAAATACAATGACAAGCAAGTCCTAATGTCAAGCTGGCTGCTTAGGTACTAGTACAGTTCAAATACAGACTATTTCAGTTCATCGAAATGCTGCACCTTAATGTTTATTTTACTATATTTTGTATTTATTTGAATACATTAGTCACAGTTTAATAATAATAAAAAAAATGTTTTTAATGTTTTGTGATAATTTTTTCTGCTGTACCGAAAACGTACCGAACCGAACCGTGACCTAAAAACGAGGTACGTACCGAACCGAAATGTTTGTGAACCGTTACACCCCTACAATCAATGTTAACTTGGAAAGCCACAATATTAATATTTTAACTCAATCACATAGGTGATATTATTGTGGCACATCAGTAAAGCCTTACATATAAGGTCGCAGACGTAATTTAATGAATTTTAACTGAACAATAACCGAATGAGTTTGTCTCACTCTTAGACCAGCAGGGGTTCCAAATCTATGCAGACTGCTGCAATAAGTATATTAATTAACTGTCTCATCGATGTTTGTCTGAATGAATATGATACTATTAACAATCATATTATTCCTATCAGCTGTCAATCACTGTTAATAAATAATAATAATAATAGATTTAATTTGTTAGCGTTTTTACAGGTGCTCAAAGACGCTTTACAGATATAGTGAGGAACTGTTATGATTCACATATTCATTTATTATTGAATAAACTATATTTATTTTTTGGAGGAGTTAATGATGAATGTTCATCAAGATGCTTGCTCACCCTCCTTCAAATTTGAAAAACAAGTAATTATATCATTTTTGATATACAGTTACAACCTTGACTTTGCATCAGAAAGAACAAACATTAAAGAAGTGACTAACTGCATCAGTTAGGGTTAAAAAACGTGTATTCAGCTAAAACATTGCTGCAGTTATTATCCAGTGGAAGGTCCTTACCTACTGGCCTAGTTAAATCAAAGTGGTTACTTTCTGTTGGCTGGGCAGTGTAGTTTTACACACCGTCTTATTTTACTTTTTCAGGACTTACAATTGTTTTTTGGGGGCAGACCCCCTCAAAGAAAAAAATATATACACGCATACAAGGTCATCATCTTAACAGTTTGTTATTCTCATCGAGTCATCCGTGAGCAGAGCATCAAGTTGGCATGTCTATTACAGCTGAATGCGGCGATTACTATTTTGTTCAGCAAAACGCCTCACAAACTTATTAAGATCAACAGCTGTAGTGCGTTTTGATTCAATGCTGAGTACAGCCAAACTTGACATTATCTTCTCTGTCATTGTAGACCGCAACTACCTAATTCCTTCAGTGCTTGGGTCCGAAAGGCTTCTCGTTTTGCGCCGTCCCGTTCAAATGAATTCGCCACCAATCATATTTCCACTCTTGCGCCAGGACCGGGGGAGGGGTTACATGACGTGCATCTTGTGCTGCATTCACTTGCACTCGGACATTAGAAACTTTCTCTCATAAATGTCCGATGAGCAACAACTTTTCTTTCAAAACAAAGATGCCAACTGGGGTGGCAGCTGGGGTGGCAAGGCTATTGTTTAGGGTGGCAGTTGCCACCCCGTGCCACCCCGGTAGATCCGCCCCTGGGTAGGAGC